CTGCGGTCGGAAATAGCAGACAGCGGAGAGTAGTCATAATTTCTAACTGCTGCAGTGAGCCGACACCGCACAGTTTTAAAAACAGCAACCGATATTCAAGTAGAGATAGTAGGTATGCGATTAATGCAAACGGGTTTTTGGGCACATTTGGACATAAGGGACATGCATTAACCAAACTGTCGGCAACTGCGATAGCTCGGAGGTCGCAGGAGCAAGCAATAAGGTGAACTGAGAATGATGCAGTTACAGCCTAAAGAAAACTTTGGAGGATGTGCTAAACGATTTATTTCCGCAACAGCGTACTACACATACTTGGCGAGTCTCTGTCATCAGTTTATACTCTGCTGTATTTAATGTTTTGGGTTGAGTGGAAAAATTCCTGGGATATATGTTACATCCAGAGCAAGCCGCAGCCAGCGGCACAGGTGTCCGACAAACGTCACTTCCATTTTCTCCGAATTCTTTACTCAGAAAACGAAACATGAGGCTCAGTCTAGGGTAAGAAAAGTCTTTTGAAAAGGCATGCAGTTAATGTGAGAGTTGTCAACCATGCAATGTTTTGCATTGTCTGAGAGAGGAGATGCGGAATCGATGGGCATGTTACGAAAAGTTATGATAGATGTTTAGGGGTGCATGACGATCAAAAGGGCCGATCAGATAGGACAAGTGTGGGGGAGCAGTCAAGACACAATAAGGGATGGATTATGGGGGGTCAGGTTTCATCACCCACTTAGAGGACAAAGGAGATAGTGATTGCATTGTGACTATGTGTTACTTGGAGCGAGATAAAGAAAATGATATGTCGTAAACCCTGAAGTCACCAGCTAAGTCATCATTATCAGAGGGAGATATATCGTATCAGGTGGCTGACTCAGTAGCTTATCTATTTGGAGATTGTAGGCATGCTTGTGGAAGTGAACATAAGCTACATTACATTGACATGAACGACGCGTTGGATGGGACCCAAACCATTATGACGGTCATTAAATAGAGCGTCGGCGTAGCCTGATCTAGGGAACGGTCTTCAGCATCTTATGTGCCTGAGATGCAGGAACATTTTACTAATCACCGGAAGCTGAAGATTACAAAAGTGTTGGTTTACAAAAGCGAGCACGGGAGCTGATCGGTTTTTCAGAGGAAAATCCGCAATTAGTGAAACGGCTATTTCGATTGAGTATGGGACGGTCCCAAGTTATGATGAAGACATCGGAGCACTTGATTCTATTGGGCTACATGGTATGAGCTTTGGGAAGCAAAAGTGCTCTAAATTAGCGAATTTGACACCAAGTTCTCACCCACTCACTGGATCGTCTCGGCGGCTGCATTCATAGGTGCACGTAAAAGGACGCTTGAGGATCTTGAATCCAATTTTATATCGCTTGGTCTTACGACGGACAAGTACGCCTTCCTCTTCGTTCCTAACTTCTCTGCATGCAATGATGCATGGGATCACTGAATTTTCCTATGGTGTCATCGGCCCCCGACCATTACCTCGGAAGCTCTACCTCAAACAATCATTATCTGTCCGCTGTTCTTGTTCACACTTGTACGACGGAGACCATTTGGTTGGATTTTTTAGCTGAGCTAAAAGGCTGAGCTAACTAGCCCAACGGCTGACCCCCCTGCTCGCTATATAAGGGACTTATTCCTTACTTTCAACAATAATACAATCACTCTTGCACTGAACTTACACCCTCGTATCGACTGACACTCAGTGCAGAACACAATACGCAACGTTTGCATTACCATCTGAAAGTACTGTATACTCATCGAGCCGAAGCACATTAATAGTGATTTGTTGTGCCCTCATGCTACATTTGCCAATCACAGTTACCCCTTTGTCGTCATGTCAACCAAAAAACTTCCCACGCCAGCTTGGGCTCATTTGGTTTGCTATCACCCCCTCTAGAATTCTTTCTAACAGTGGACATCATTTTATCTTTGGCCTCCCGGCACTCACCAGACTCTCTTGATCTTATTCCATTCCATAATCTTCCCAAGTTTCAGACTTCGGCAGTAGCTGCTCCGGACGCCCCGTGTGACTGGCACGCATGCATTCTGACCGGTCATCATATAGTCCTTCAACGGAATCGAAATTACCAATGACTCTACATTGTCCTGACTCTAGCTGTGTTAGTCCCCTCGTTCAACCAAGATCCAGCTGCCACGGGAACACGCATCCCGTATCCGATTGCCGAAACTTTGACGGGGCTGTCCGGTAACCGAAATGTCAATAAAATTATGGGATGCGCTGCCATGCACACCCTGGTAGCCCTTCCGCAATTATTTTCTTCATATTCTCGATTGTCAGCTCTCGATTATCTAAGCCTGTTATTGCGAACCTGACAACCCGGCCCCAACCGTTCCTGGGATGAGCTTGTTCATACCCACCGAACCTTCTGTTTAGACATAACCATCAGGTTTTTTGCTGCAAACCAAATCGCCTTTTCCCCAAGTTAAACGATTTTATTTACTATGTTCTTTCGCGCTTTGCACTGGCATTTCATCCCCATAATTTTTCCCAATCAGTCTCCACTTCGAATTTTTCTAGCTCTTTCTCCACCCACTCGCAGATGCCGCTGGCTATTCGCGCAATGAGACTGGTTTCTCGAAATCTACGGCATTTTCAGACTTGCCACTTCATAGTAGAGAATGTCTACGTATAATGTATATGCTCCTGTATTATTGAAAAACATTTATTATGGCGATTTGTTTAAATGAGCGAATTCTCCAGGTTAATAAACACCGCCAACTGTGAATACGTTACCTGATGATAAAAAATCGCGAATTGTAGAAAAGGTTGACTCACATACAATGAACGTAACTTTCAGGTATTTTCTCACCGGAACAGATTTCCTCAACATTCTAGAATCTAAATGGCCTTTGGAGATGCAACATATGTGTAGGTGCATTCGTGCAAACAAATTTTGGTCGATGATTCTTTGTCGCCAGGAAAAGTTCCGTAGTGCACGCTAATTATTTCCTAAACATCGTGCACGTTGGCTGGCAAATTACAGAATTTTTCATTATAGGTTCCGAATTATGCTAGAAAGAACTCGAGGTTCATCGATCTTAACCGACGCACACCACTAACATGCGGCCAGGGGTACACGATGCCTAACTAACTAGCCACATTGAGTCTACGTCGATAATACCAGACAGCTAAATGATCTTAACCGACGCACACCACTAACATGCGAAGTGGCGAAGCATTATGTCACAGCCGAACACTACTCTTGCCGCACGCATTCGCGCCGCCAACTTCTCCATTACGAAGGTCCTGACCGGATACGCTTCGCCCATCATTTCTTTGAACAAGCCGAACAGTTTACGCATAGGAGCAAACTGCTCGCTCCCTACGAACGCATACATAACCGGACGCCGGTTCCCATGCCGTCCGTTATCAAGAATGTGTATAGTTTATATCTAAATACCGAATATTAGATGCTTTAAAAAAACTTACCCAAGGCGGTTTGTTGCATGTGTCCCGTCCACATTCACTACGTCGGGAAAGCGTCGGAATAACGCTATCTGCTGCCATCGGGAGAAACATATGTGGCTATAGTGACCTTCCTCTCCCTGACACACAAGAACGCGTCCGGTCTCCCGAAGTTTTGCCAGGACCGAAGGCATATCATCTGCTACATTAAAACCCAACCATTAGGCACCTACTCAACATAGCCGGTCGACACTTCCGGCGGTAGTTGTGTATATCCTTAGTTGTAAGAATCTTTCCGAATTCATCCGCCACAAGCTGCCGCACCCCAGATGACGGCGTTCCATATCTCAGCAGGGCCTGGCATGTGCCCAACTCGTCTTCAGTTAGGCATCGATTGTCTGGAAGCCGATCGTACAGATACATTGACAGTTTGAGGTTGTGTTCCAGAAAATAAAAGGTCACTGCCAGTTAGTTCCTTTGCCTCCGCAGACTAAACCGCACTGGACAGCTGGTGCTTCGCGTACTTTTTTATTAGTAAATACGCTCAGCTTACCAGCTTCTTCGGATTCCACGGCTTTCCGTTGGTCTTGGAGGGCGCCTGCTGCATTTGTAGTACATCAATTCGCAACGCAAAATAGTGTTGAAGCTTCGATTATTGGATGAACGCACAAATATCACAAAGTTATCCTTCATGTATTCATTTAAGGTCTTCTCAAATGCCGTGAATGATGAAAACGATACACCCACAAATTTCTCAAAGAAAGCCACTTCCGAAGCCGTAGCAGACGAAGTTCAAAGCCGAATGTGCGCCAATAATCTTCAAAAGAGATCGATTAAAACAAATCGCAAAAAAATGACGGCAGATGGGGGGTTTTCAGTCTACGCATATTTGCAAAGAAGTGCAACATTTTGACGTTAAAGTTTTTATTTCGCCCGCAGGGGTTTTGCAGAAAAACGCGTCGTGCGTCTAGCCGCTGGCCCATTTTTGCTTTTCGTGACCCTGGCGATTGACTCAGCCGCCTGAGGTCACTCAAGGTTTTAGTTCAAGTAAACCGGCTCAATCAATGAACTTGTTGAAACTCATGCCCCATTGTTCTCGTTTTCTGCTTCCGCGACCGCGATGACTTATCGCGTGATTGTGCCTTTCTCTACGTTGTCCGTCACGCTCCGGTTGTAACGGCCCGATAGCAACGGTCAAATAAAAAACGGATGTTTAAAAGTGCTCCTGTACTCCCTGCAAGTGAACTTCGGATATCTAAGGCATCAAAATGGAAAACAGACACGTATTCCTCAAGGCCTTTTTGAAGCCTTGGACTCAAACATTGCGTTAAACTCTCAACTCTGCCAACCGCTCTGCGGAGAATCTCACTCCCACACCTGGAAGAAGTAGAAACGGTATTGAATTGCTTGCACACAGACCGTTTCAGTCCTTCCAACAACTTCTTGATATTCAACAGCTGGTTTGTCTTGAAAAATCGTCCATAAGCGTACTTGAAAGTAGAAGCACTATTTACTTTAGTTTGGCCCTGTCCAGCCCGATTGTTTCCTCAGACACACGGATTCACGAATTGGTACACAGGATCGAGGCCATTGCCCAAGTTTCCGGGTCGCTGTTGTTCTTATCAGTCAGTGGCTGCCGTTCACCTGAAAGGCACAAGTGAAAAAAGGGTGTAGAACTGCTCTTTGTGTTCTCAGCACGGGGCAGTATGTTCGCCAGCGCGAGGATTCGCATAAATAAGTGTCTAATAGTGCTTTAAACTGGGTTCTAGAAGGAGCGTGGACAACCGTCGAAGGAGGGTCATTTCACGCAGCTACTACCCGAAATGATAAAATTTTTGTCTAATGACTATGTGTGCTCTGAGCTTGAAAATTTTCTTACCATGTCCCCGCCGTGTGTTTGCTGGGTCAACGATGAGAAACCTGTTTGCCAAGCTTTGTTCAGGTCCCCTCGGAGGCGACGGTACTCCAGGGGAAAGAGATCAAGCATCGCGAGACGCGTTTCGTAGTCCACGGATTTGAGGCCGGCAACCATTCTCGTAGCGGCCCGCTGGACACCACTCCTGAACCTTGCTGTTACGCACCGTGGATTCAAGTTCCGATGCGTCGTTTACCGCTGCGCATCCAACCGCCGGAAAATGATCTGTTCTTCACATAAATTCTTGGGTAACTGTCCGCCAGCTACTGCTTCAAGCATTTTTTGCTACTGGGTGATTCTAACAACCCGAAGGCCTTCTGGATGGAGTTCCAGGCATGCGGTCTATTGGACAGTTTACGTCAGTAATGACCACAGTCGCCACAGGTGACCTACCATTCCTAGTGGATCTGCCTGTCACCAAAGGTGTACGGTTTGCTGATCGAGTGTTAACTGAGGCTTCCCAGAAACATAGTAGGAACTGTGTCTTGACTTTTCATTTCATCTCCCACTGGAACGGAAACCCGGAATCTCAAATGTGGATTTCAAACTGCTGCCGTGTAGAATACTTAGGAGTGGTTTCTTAACCATCACAAAGTGTAACCAGTTTCATCAGAAGAGACGTACAGGCTGATTGTCAAGTAACTTCACGAAGCTGATGCGACTTTATTCATAAAGAATCAGCCAGCAGTCGGATAAGCCGGAAGTCACCCAAAACGATTTGGTGTCTTTCGGAACTTGGTCCCAACAGCCTTCCAAAAAGATGACTGCAGTAGACAGATGATGAGCCGGCGATTCGTAAGAGGGAAAACCGCCTAAATAAAAAATCCTTTAACGGGACATATGAAAAAAGGCCACGATACTGGATCTCGCCGGCAAAAATGTACTATTTAAGTTCATGAGTCACCACCGACGAAACGAACCAATTGCCGTTACCTTGTGGAACGAAAACGAGAACCTACGAACGACTCACCAGTTGTATATGAAGACTGCAGAGAAGAATATGCAGGCACATATTATGCTCCAACGAATTCATCACATCGAAATTCGACAAGACGGAACAAGTGACAGCCTTTAATCACCGAAATACACTCATTTACAAACTAAGTGGATTTTGCAAGAGACTCACCTGAAACCCCGCTAAATCTCTCGTTTGTGATGTTTCCAGGTGACTGAACGTGCTGCACTAGGTTGCCTCATGTTTCAGTTGCAGCGATATTCCAGATATCACGATACATGTATATTCATAAGATTGCTATCGACGCCCTTAATCAAATTAGTCTCCTCATAGGACGATTTTTGAGAACCGTTGCACGATACAAATCACTTCAGCGCGTTGGGGCATACGAGTCCATCCAGGTCTCCTAAAGGAGACATCGTTTACATTGGTTAAGCATCTCTACCAGGCGTCTCGTCAGCCCCTCAACGAATGCAACCGGCCATGTGCATGGAAAGCAGCGATTGTCACACCGCTATACGAATCTTGTGACCGCTTATCTCCCGGCAGTTACAGGCCTATTAACCTCACTAGGATAGCTCACAAGGTGGTGGAATGCATCCGGAAACGCAGCATCACAAATCACCTCACTTCTGACAATTTGATATCTCCGGTGCAACACGAAATCCTCCTACATTGACGTCGCTTGACCAACATGCCCTTATATTGGACAGCTCAATCCAAGTCAAAGACGCAGGACATGTATCAGATACCGTATATCTTCACTTCTCAAAAGCACTCAATCAAGCCTTAAAAATTCCGCTACTCCACAAGCTGGAATCTTGTGGGGTTGGAGCAGAAATGCTATGCTGGACTGAGGCGTTCCACTCAAGAAGAAAATTCAGAGTGAATGTCGGTTTAGCCTACTTTTTGTCCAACTCTTCATTGCGGTTACCCGAAGCTCCCTAACAGAAACAATTTCTTTCTGATCTACCCCAGCGACCTCCAGGAAGCGCCTTAAAGCGCTTCGCACTTTTCGCGGGCGACCTAAAATCCCTACGCCTCCGTTCACACCCCTCAAGTCGATGACGACGCTGCAAGCCAGTAGCCACTAAACTGATGCCTTCCGTCAATGACAAAGGGTGCGTCCAAATACCGTTCAAAGGCAATTCAGGCTATAGTGATCTGGCTACCCAATAAGTTACTTTACTAGGAGTGTGTGACAAATAAATAAAGATAATAACGCTAGATTGGGTACACAATAATGAAGAGGTCAAATGGAGCAGATTCATCAGTAATTGTCCTCCTTAAAATAGTTCGTCGTTGTCCCAGATCATCGAATAAACAAGAATCCAATTATGGTGTTCCAGGGGTCTTCTTCTGAACAGTTCAAACACACAATAGATTCCGAAGATGGTCTGAAATGTTGATACCAGAGTTAGCACATGAGACTCGTGAATAACCGCGAGCGAAACTAGAAGGGAGAGCCGAAGCACGTGGCCACGTTTATATTGCGTGAATTTTTGTGCAAGTGCGCGTTTTCATAGTTTTTCGTATTCAAACAAAAGACAAGTATGCAATTGACGAAATAAGTGGTGTTATAATGAAAGCAAAATAAAGGTACAAAACGCGACAAGGACATGAATGTATTCCAGAATACCAAAAGAACCGAAGACCAGTTGAGGAAATTTTGAACAACCACTTGAAGTTTTTATTCACACGCACTAGCATACCGTGCAAACAGACATTTTTATTAAAAAAGTTACCTCGAATAAACATGAATTTGTATGAAATATCTTAGGAGGCACCTTATCATTCATGGATGCATATTTTAGGCACCCCAGAACGGTGACGCTTGAAGCCGTTGATATGTGAAATATGGGTGTGCAATAGAAATCAGTGTGATCCTTTTTTTGCTCCAGAGGGGAGAAATGTCAATGGGAGCACATCGGGTAAACGATGAAGGCAACCACATAATCCGCATATTATGTGAACTACACCTTGTCATTGCCTGCCTTAAAGCTAGCGTCTCTTGGGTTTGACGATGGCGTGTTTATAGTGAGTGCCACAGTTAAACAAACGCGAATGCGAGAAAGTTCATTGCCAAATCGAGTTTACACCCGTAAACTGATCCCTGAATCATGTCACCTGGTTCACTGAGCGGTGTGATACGATCCCTGAATATTAAAATGTTAGCTTGGACATCCCCAGCAGACAACTAAAGGATTCTGTGACTGTTTGGGTTCCGCTTTTGTGGACGACATGGTCAATCCGAACAGAAGCAGGCCGCTGGTTTAAGCACCAAGGAATCGAATGACTTCCAGCTTTCTTCCATTTTAATGAACCGGTCAGGGTCAGTGATATTTTAGTAGGATAAGGCAGCGGCACTCACAACCTACACCATCATACTGTCATAGTCGTTTCTACGTAACGCCACGGCCAAGGGCTCGTCCAGCTGCTATCCGGAATGGAATCTTATTGAAAATATACTGGTTTTGATAACGAGTTGGCTCTACACGGATCGCCGTCTTTTGTTCACGCTTGAGGTAAAATCTACTACCTTTTGGGAATAGGCAAAGGCTGTATATATCACCCACACAGGTGACACTAGGATCGCATAAAAGAATGACATCGCGTTGGTGAGTAGACCAAACTCTGGATGAGATAAGCAGACGATACTTTAGCCACCAGTACCGTCAAAATATTACAGAAATCAAACCAAATACTTGCCACTGCGTTAGAGTTTACTCGAATTACAAGTGAGATTGATCATCTTCCACCAATCGTCCCGACTATACTGGAAGACTTTTGCGGAAATATCGTAAGCTGAGCTAAGCGGAAAATACTACCTTCTTTAAAGGCCTTTATCAAATATTTGGCTCCCTTGTTCCAACAGGTGGTTCCAAACAAATTGATAACTCAACCTGAAAGGAATTCTTATAGTGGAAAATTTCGTCACTTAAGCCGAATTTCAAGTCTCTGGTCACAATGTCAGACGGAAATGGTACACAAACCCGGTTCGAATACGCGGTCAAATTAGTGACCTCATACCCAGATCAACCGTTTACTCCGGGTTATCCCACACTAAACTCGTGGACATTTCACATCAGAATCTATCCACTGCAGTACAGAAACAAGTCAGTTTGAAAGACCAGCAATAAAAAGCTTTCGAAGAAATGAAAGAAACAAAACTCTTCTGGCGAAAGATCATACGAACATCCATAAAAAAATGAATGGTATCCACTTTGGTGCTGGAAATTTGATAACCGCATAATACACTGAAGAATAACCGACTTACATAGGATTAGGTAGCCAGACAACTGCATACTCCAGAGCCTCATGTGAGCCGGTATATCAACACCTGAAACACGAGAGCACGTCGCCCAAAATTACAATGCGTGGTCACTCTCCTGAGACGAATCGCTTGCGTAAACAATTGAGACTGCCACAGAACTGCACGTCAGTTAATTTCATCATTTTAAAGGATTATTTTGAACTGGTGGGCAATCCGCATAACAACTTGGTGAAGTCCCAGGAGTGCTTCTTGCTGGGACTTTGATCATCGACGCACCCAATCACTGGACACTAAATTTTTAGGTGATTTTATCTTTTAACATAATATTGACCGAGGACTCCCTATTGACAGCAGTAAGAAACAGATTTTATTCTGTACAAAAATATTAGTTTTGGATTCAAGAGAGAATTGTATATTCGAATTGGTGGTGCTGCTAGAAGCAGCCAAAATTGGCAGATATTGTTATGGTGGGGGCTGAGCATAGGAATTCAGGAATTCCA